AACCACTGCGCCACCAGGGAAGCCCCCACCTCACTCTTAGCAAGCTTCCTAAGGCACTTCCACGAAACCCTAAGCTTTCAAAAACATGGTTATGAAGTATCTTTTTTAAAAAAGTCCTTGCTTTAGGTAGAGTAGGCACGGTGATCTGTGCTCTGTAGATATTTGCAATCACTTGTGTGTATATGCGTGTGTACTCATGAAATGACCTGAGACAAAGCAATACATCTGAGTAAAATAGGAGGCAGGATATTGCTAGTATGCTAGCCAGAACCTTTTATCATATGACTTAAATAAACTTCTTAAGACCTCAGTTGTTTTTGGCTCCTTCCTCTGTAAAATTAGTCAATAACTGTTTTAGAAGTCTGCTCCAGATTATACACACACACATATATATATATATATATACACACATATATATAATTTCCAGGTCACTGACCTTTGATCCTAGATCAAAGAGATGTTCTTCTGAAGTAAAATGTTTTTGGTGAAATAAATTACTTTCTTACTGACAGCTTCAAAGTTATTACCAATAATAAAATTTTGATACCAACCAAAATGGAAATCTTTTTTGCTAAAATTTTCCTTGGCCCCTGATTGGTCATTAGATGTCAGATATAGTGAAAACATCTGTGCAAGGACCTGGGACACACAGTGGGCAGTGTCCACCGATACTAATGATCAAGGTAAGTTATGGAATTCTCTTTTTGTTTCAGTTCTGATACTGTTTTTACACCTCCGCTCCTCCTCTGGGTTCTTTTTTTTTTTTTTTTTAATTTATTTATTTATTTTCCCTCTGGGTTCTTTATCCCATCTTTTCCTTTCTCAAGTTTTCCTTCTGAGGTCCCATCCCATCTTTACTCATTTTGCCCTTTGGCAGGCAAAGCCATTTGAGTCTTTCGGTAAGGAGGAAGCCATTAGTCGTGTTCCATCATTCCACATCACAGGGAATGACACCATACTACCCAATTGCCCAAACCTGGAACCTAATAATTATCTTGATGCCTTCCTCTCCCTTACCCTTAATCTAATTTACCACCAATTTCTCTTACCTCCTAAAGATTTCTTAAATTTGTTTTGTTTGCTTTGTTTCCACACTTTTTAGTTTAAGCAACTCTCTGTGGCCCTGCAATAGATTCTTATCTGGTCTCACACACATTTTGGCACCTCTCCCATCTGTTCTCCATATTGCAGCCAGAGTAAACATTTAGAAAAATGCATGTCTTAATATTACCCACCTTCGGTGGTGTTTTAATCTGGTCAAAGACAGCTCCTAATTCTGAAGGGGAAGCTAGGATCAGTTTCCGTTTCCTTCAAACAAGTAGGCCCTCAAACAGAAAACTTAGACTTAGTAAATATAAGACGAAAACAACCTCCAGACCCAGTGAGGAGGAAAAGCAAAGGGTCCCTAGTCCAGGGAACAGGAAGTGTTATAGCTTACAACATGGCTGACTGCAGCAGTGGGCAGAGGGGATGTTGGCAAATGAGTCCCCAGTCAAGGGCAGATCAGCAGTTTTGTCAAGGGGTTCCATAGGTGTAAACTAGAGCCTGTATTCTATTATGTCAGACTGCTCCTGAAAGCTTTTCATTTAGTCATTTTCATATAGAGTGCATAGGATGACCGTCTCTGCACTCAAGGGGTTTAATTTATTTGGATCAAAGGGAGACAAGTGGAGACTCCCAACATGGGTGTGGGAAGGGAGCAGTGAGGGAGGTGGTTCTATGTATCCCAAGACATTGCTCCCCTAGGGATAACAGGCAAGACCTGTGGTAGCTGTCCGTCAGGGTAGGAAACTTGACAGCGTAAAGTTTTGGAATAGCTGATGCAAGAAAAGAGGGACACTGCTGCTAGTGGTAGTGGTTAATAAAAGACAGCAATAAGTGCCAGATGCTGTTCAAGTAGGAAAGCAGGAAATGACTTCAGAGATTGGGTGTTGCAAGGGAAGTATCAAGGAGATGACTTCTGAGATAGCCCTCGAGAATGGGTGAGACGTGTAAGGGAGAACAAACCTGACTCCATATTGGATCTGTTCCTTTAATCTGTGTGCTCTGTTGTCTGTTCTTAGTTATGGTGACTCTGCACCTTTGTAAAGGAATGTTGCCCATAGCCTGAAATAGAGCCCATTCTCAAGGCTCTGCCTCCCAGGCTCATCCTTTAAAGCAGGGGTCCTGGTCCTTGGCCTGTCAGGGAGCGGGCTGCACAGCAGGAGCTGAGCGCCGGGCGAACGAGCGAAGCTTCATGTGCCTCTCCCCATCGCGTGCACTACCGCCTGAACCAGTCCCCCGCCACCCTGTCGGTGGAAAAACTGTCTTCCAGGAAACTGGGTCCCTAGTGCCAAAAAGGTTGGAGACCGCTGCTTTAAAGGTGTCATACTTTTTATTCCTGTAAAGATAAAAACTTGCAGAACAGAGGATAACATCTGTCTTCTTGAAGGTTGACAGGAATATGGCGACCTGACTTAAGTGGACAGCTAAAAGAACAAAGGATTATCACATCCCCTCTGGGGTCTGGCTGGCACCAAGAAGTCTGCAACAACCAGCCACACCACCCTCCTTTCAGTGTAAAATAAGTCTTGAATTCCAACTCAGACGGGTCTTTGGGACACCAGTCTGCCACCTTCTCAGTCGGCTGGCTTTCCAAATAAAGTCACCGTTCCTTGCCCCAATACCTCTTTTTGCCCTGTTGTGAGGACTGGAAAACAGAAGTGGTGGAGTGCGCAAGGGTGGCGGCAAAGAAAGGTAATAATACTTGGTTTGACAACACTGCAGTGGAATGAGAAACTGCTACTGAGCAAAGGCAAAAGTTTTTGTTTTTCCTGCTGCAACCAGGCCCAGTAGGCCCCGCCCTTAAGGGAGCAGGTCTCGATAATAACTTACCGTTCTGTTACACGGTGAGGAAGGTGCAGTACTAGACCCCGTAGTTGGTCTTCGAAACCGGAAAGTAGCCCTGGACGGATGGGGCGGAGACATGTGCGGAGAGGCGGGACTTCCGGCACGGCCCTTGGGCCAGTTTCCGGCGCCCTCAGGCAGCCGCCCCGGCGCCTTTTTCCCCGCCAAGGATACTGCGGAGCGGAGCTTCTCTGCTGGCTTTTCTGCTAGCGGGGCGTTTGCCTTTGCTGAGGACGGCGTGCGGAGCCCGGTGAGGAGCCGCACTGGGACAGGCGAGCGCCCGCCTGTCTGGAGGCTACATTTCTTTGTGAGCTGGCTGGGGACATACCGGTTGGGTTTCTAGGCCACCACCCTCCTGGGGCCCGGACCAACCGGCCGCTCGCTCTTTGAGGATTGCCCACCCCTCGCGGCCTTCGGCGCGGCGCCACCACGCGTGCGCGGCGCGGGGCGAGCCGCACTTCCGCCAGGTCTCGCGTGCGCGGGGCGGATGGTGGCTGTGGGGTGTTAATCCTTCCCCCTAACGTGCCCCTGAGCTGTATTTCGAAGCCGGCGTCCCTTCGGGTCAGTCTGGCGTTTGCCAGGAGCTGGAACTTGCGATGAGGGAGGGTGCGTGACCAGTCTTGAGGCCCTTTCCCACCCGGGAGAAGGAGGGGATTGCAGTTGAGTTAGTGCTGAAAGAGCGTCGTTCGTGGAATCCTTCCAGTTATGGAGGCCGGGATCCATGCGTTTCGCTAATTAAAAACTCTTTATTGAGCGATCAGTAGTAGTACAGGGGGAAAGGCAACAGCCCTTTGACTCACAGGCTCCACGGATGGAACAGAGTGAGGAGTGTACTAATGGAGCACGCTGGGGGGTCCTGGCCCAGCCTTGGGAGAAAAGGAGTTGGACTCAGGAAAAACAGGAAGTGATATTTGTCTGAGACCCAGGGACTGAAGGAATTGGTCAGGGAAGGGAGGATGTAGGCGACAGGGGTGGTAGAATTCAGGGAGCAAAAAGGTTTCAGACAAAAGTCCAGCGATGAGGGAGGTAACGTATAGGACTGGTGGGCGACTGCAGTGCCATTGAACTTTGGTGCAGGAGTAGACACAAACGAGTTGGAGAGGTAAACCAGGGCTCTGGACACCAGTGTACATTGTTCATATTTTATCCTGGGCGCAGTGGGGAGTGACTGCATAATAGCATTTGTTGAGGGAGTGCATGCAGTGTGGTTCCCGACTTTTTCACTGGAAGCATATGGGGAAGAAAAAAGAATTTGTACTCTCCAGGGGGTGAGTATAAATATGTCCAGAGACATATTGAGAAGAGCCCCAGCCTCCCAGGAGAAAATTTATATTGAAATCTGTTTTAAATATTTATGTACGTTCTTAATGATAGGCCACAGTATATCCTTATTTTGGTATAAAATGTTTTCCCATATCCTCAAATTATACTAATGCTTTAGGACTGTATCATATTTATCCTGTGATTTTTGTAGCCCTTGACACATCCATCATGTCCCCCCTGCCAGCACACACACACCCACCCCCAATACGCATATATGACCTATAACCCAGCCTTTCTATTTGTGGAACACTGTTCACAATATATGTATTACTTCCTTTAATCTTCCAATCAACCATTAGAGGTGTTATTCTTTCTACTTTAGAAATGAAGAAACTCAGGCTGAGATGTTAAGAAAATTGCCCACGTGCACACAGCTAGTGAGTACAAATCCAGGCATGTACAACTCCTTAGTTCTTGTACTTAACCCCTGCACTGTTGCATTTCAAAAAATGGATTTGGAGCTAGAAATAGGGAGAAGAGTCGAAGCAGAGAGGACATTTAGGAAGTTGTTGAAATAGGCTAGATGAGAGATGATGATTTCAAAACTAAGATAGTTTTAGTAACAGTGAAGAGAAGTGAGTGGATTCAGGACTGTACAGGAGGTAGCACTGACATGATTTGATTTGGCCCTTGACTGGTTGGGAAGAAGGCTTGGGAGAGTCGTGGGTACATCTACATTGATGGTGCTGCCATTCGCTCAATAAGGGTTGCAGGATGAAGAGCAGCTTAGAGGGTAACAAGGACTTGGATTGAGATGCCCCTGGAATATTCAAGGGGAGATGTCCTCTGAAGTATCTTGAAGAGTTCCTTTTGGGATGAGAGAGAATTTACTTTTGTTCTTTGCATTGAATATGTACCAATATCAATTGTTTATGACTTTCTAAAGTATATCCCACATAACTTGTTCAAGCCATGTGAGATGGTGGGACGTGGACTCAATATAAACAAACATGGACCAGCTTTGAAGCCTTTTCAGTTTTCTGGGGTGATACTAATAGTTTACAATTACAGTTTATCAAGTAATGACTTGTAGTTCCGGTAACAAGTATTGTAAAAATTTAGACAAGAAAAGAGATCATGGCAGAAGTGATAGAGGCCTGTAGTGGAGCTAACTGAAGAAGTGTATTTTGAAGTTTGAGTGGTACACCTCAGTTATGTTCTTATAGGCCTCAGTCACTCTCAGATAAGCTCTATAAGAGCATTTTAGAGTTTAAAAGGTATGTTCTATGGAACTGATGAAAGCGCTTTGGTAACATTAAGTCTATGTGGACCCTTCAATAAAGATTAGAATTATCAATATTTTTATGACCGTTTAGTGGTTCTGGTTGGACAGTTTTTTATTTTTTTGAACAGTACAATTCTTTTGTTGTTTTTCTAGTCTTGTTTATATTTTATTCTTTAATCATCTTTGGAGTTAACTTTTTTTTTTGTGGCTGGGCCGCAGGGCTTTCGGGATCTTAGTTCCCGGACCAGGGATCGAACCCAGGTCCCAGCAGTGAAAGCACCGAGTCCCAACAACTGGACCGCTAGGGAATTCCGAACGGAGTTAACATTTTTTTATTGAATATTAGGTGCCTCTAATAAAACTTGGGGTTTGAGAGAAGAAGTTTTAGGTTCTTCTGTATGTAAAAAGAGAATGCTTTGTCTACATTTTGCATAGCCTTACCTTTTGTGGTGCAATGTATTTTAAATTAAAGAATCCTTTGTCACACATACAAATAGAGTCGCTAGCAAAAGTCTAGTCTTTTGAGTAACAAACTGTTTCCCCTCTCAGGCAGGTAATAGTTGATGCTATTGTTGATGTAATCCTCCATTTCAAGGTCATAGTAAAGATCAGAAATCGAATAACATATGAGGACTGTTATAAAAGAAAAGATTTTGCAGTGGAATCTTGATTAACCAGAGCTCTTAATATCTTTTTTTTTTTCTCTGCACTCTCCCCCCATCCCCCAGCAGATTCATTATAAAAGGCAAACAGAACCAGGGAGTTATTTTAAAATCAAAATACTTGATGAGGGTTATACTGATGTATAATGATTGGACTAATTTAGTTTTTTATAAAATTAAATATATGAGAAATGACTGACTAAAACATAACAAGACTAATTTTTATTGTGAAATATGTAATCTACACAAGATTATGCAAAACATATGTAAGTTTTAAATAATTATGATAAAAAACACCTGTGCACGCACTGTCTAGGTCAAGAAGACTTTAGAGGCATCCTTGTGCTCCTCCTGGTTTGTATCTCCTCCCCATCGCCTGGAGGAATCCCTATCCTCTTGTGTTAATCATTCCCTTGCTTCTCTTTCCAGTTTTATCACCTATGTGTGCTATAATATGGAACCATACGGTATGTAGTCTTTTGTGACTTGATTCTTTCACTCTGTAGAAGAACATTACCTAGGATGATGTAACTGTAGTTCATTCATTTCCACTGCCTTTCACATTCTGTGTATGAGTATACCACAATTTATTTGTCCATTCTTCTGTTGATAGACATTTGTATTGTTTCCAGTTCTGGCTTTTACAAACAGTGCTGCTTTGGACATTTTTGTTTGTGTTTAATGGTAGAGTGTGAAAGACTCTCTCGAGGATATAATACCTGGGAGTGGAACTGCTGGGTTATAGAGCATAGTGATTCCAAACCAGTTTCCAAAATGATTGTACTGTTTTATTGTCTCACTAGCAGTATAAGGGAGTTGCCTTTTTTTTTTTTAACATCTTTATTGGAGTATAATTGCTTTACAATGTTGTATTAGTTTCTGCTGTATAACAAAGTGAATCAGCGATACGTATACATATATCCCCACATCCCCTCCCTCTTGCGTCTCCTTCCCACCCTCCCTATCCCACCCCTCTAGGTGATCACAAAGCAGAGAGCTGACCTCCCTGTGCTATGGGGCTGCTTCCCACTAGCTATCTGTTTTACATTTGGTAGTGTATATATGTCCATGCCATTCTCTCACTTCGTCCCAGCTTCCCCTTCCCCGTATCCTCAAGTCCATTCTCTACGTCTGTGTCTTTATTCCTGTCCTGTCCCTAGGTTCTGAAGAACCTAG